TTCTTTTTTGTAGGAGGTTCTTTAAAATCTTTGAGGTACCTTGATAAAAGGTTCAAAGATGGGTTAATGATGAATGTGGAAATTTATGTCTCTCAGATCCTGTGAATCTAGCGATGATGATTCTCCTGTTGGAGTTCTTTGAATGAGAATGAGTCTTAGGAGGGCAAATTGTTGGATTATTTAATCCTAATTCTCTCATATGTTATTTTGTTATAATTAAGATAGGATGGCAAAGTAATTAGGCTTGTTTTATTTTTTCCTTTATCTTGGGTTATCTCTTTAGTGGGTTGGTGGTTGGTGCATTGGGCTTGATCTGCTAACTGATTGCTGTTGGGCCTATTTTGGGTCCGACCTCTTGGTTATATTTTCTGCCCGGATGAAAGGTTATTTATATAACCTTCGTCTTCTGCATCTGCACTGTTCCGCTGCATAAACTCAAAACCCTAGAGAGAGAATCCTGAGAGAGAGAGAGAGAGTCTGATCCTTGGATCTGTTATCCCATGCGATAGAACGCCATCATCTCATGTCGATTGCGAGGAAGGAGGAAGCCTGTTCAATGAAGTAGCCTGCTGGTTCTATCGGAAGCCTTCTTCTGCTCTTTGATTCCTGACTGGAATCGTATTTGGTAAACTCTGAACTTTCTCTAGTAGTTTATCGTTATGAGCTGTATGTTTGTATATTGCATGTTGATTCTGGTCTGTGTCTAATTACTTTGCAACCATCTTGATTGTAAACCCTATTCTGAGCTAGTGGATCTGCCTGGGACCGGGTTTCCCCTCTTGAAACCCCGCAGATTAGGAAGTTCTTTTCCGAACTGCGTCATCATATCGAGTGTCTTTACTTTTCTGTTTTTTGCTTTGTTTGCTTGATTGAAACGTTGAGATCCGATTTGCATGACTGTGACTTGGTTAAGTCTGTGAACAGTTTTAATTTGTTTTAAAATTATATATCATAAGTTTATTTTATATACTCAGTTATGTATAGATAAAGTTATTTCAAAATTATAATGAGAGAATTCCCTAAGTAGGAGTAAAAAAGTTTTGAAATTCCAAAATAGGAGTATCATATTTTTTATTCCTTGAATAGGAGTAAATTTCTGCCAAGTTTGGCATTACTAGGCATTAAAACATGACATTTTTTTCCAAATTTGGCAGATTACTCCTATTCAGGGAATAAAAAACATGATACTCCTATTTTGGAATTTCAAAACGTTTTTGCTTCTATTTAGAGCAATTTCTAAATTATAATCTATTTGTCATAACTTGATTTATTATAAATTCCAATAGTGACTACCGAGCAACTAAATGAGAAAATATTAGTACAACTATATTATTCAGCAAAAATCTTCAATATTCTAAAAAAAAGTCAAGTTTAATAGTCAAATTAGCTATAAATTTTTAGAAAACGGAATAGTTACACATAGAGTCATACTCTACTCATAAATTCAAATTTTTAAATAAGTAAGGCCTACTCAAAAATTTATTACTCAAATCAAACATCTATCTTTCCTAGAATCTAAACTAAGGCCTACTTGGGTTCAAGACAAGGCCTTGTTTAGCTAGTTATTTGAACCTATGTTGTAAAAAACAGAGCGGGAAGCGACCTAGTCAACATTTATATAATAATAGCCACGCCATTATATATATAATTAAATTGAAAAGTAGTTGTTATTCATAATGATTGATTAATGATAAATTGATAATATTTGGTAAGCATTTAAAACACTCTCATAATATTTCAAAATGCAATTTTGGTCATATTTGAATAGATTGTGTTATTTGTTATTTGTATTGTACATTATAATATAATTTGACATAATTTTGTTTCTTAGTAATATATAAATATACTCCGTATTACTCATTATTTTCTACTTAGTGTATTGATTGTGCGTGTCCACAAGTTTTTCGCACGATTCCCGGAAGAACTAACATTGATTGGTCAAAAACCATTAGATTTATTTCCAATAAAAAACTAATTTCACAATGTCGCTTGAGACGAGACGAAGAATTGATTGCCCCGTGTGACCACACGAGCTAGCCCTCAATGGCTAGAGGATAATCATTTAATAAATGCCACCCAAATTCACCTCCTTAATGACTTGAACTCAAGACCCCCCCACAAAGGAAGGATTTGAACTTTGAAGTGTGGGAATTGGGAAGTGATCCACTTGTATCACTCCCACTTATGGAAAATTTATTTTAAAGGTCATGGTCTAACTTATATTATTCCTTAATGGGGGTGTTTGACAATTGGCTGTTGGCTATTGGTTGTTAGCTGATTGTGTTAGCTGATTGATGACAACAGATTTTGTTAGCTGTTTTGAATAGCTGATAGGATTAGCAGTTTGTAAAATAGTGTTTGGTTAAATGGTTGTTTATAATCAGTTGGTAACTTGTTAAATGACTTTTAAAGACATCAATTAATTTTTTATTATAATTATTACAACTACTTAAACCGTTTTAATTATCTAAAAAAATAAAAAGTATTAACACAAGTAATAATTTTTATAGAAACTACATTTCATGAGTTAATACATTTTATTAGTATGGCGATATTTTGATTAATAAAAGGAGTTATAAGTAAAAATATACCAAGAAAAGTTGTGTAACGAAAACCAAAAACATATTTAAATATTTATGTCACCACAAACAAGAAAATGAAATGTTTTTAGTTTATTTAACTATTCTAGCTTTTTAATGGTTTTGGATATGATTTTAATATATTATCCTAAATTATTTGCATTCATTAAAGTAATAAAAAGTAATAAAAATGAATAGTATTGATTGCAATGTATTTTGTTCATATATTGCTAAATTTTGTTAATGTCATCGCTTATACATTTATTAGTGTATTTATAAATTATTATTTTTTTAACAAAAGTGGGTCTTCATGCTTTTAGAGATGGAAGTAAATTGTCCTTTCATTAACAAAAGTGATTTTTCAATTTGGAACAATTGAAGTTGCACTGCACGTAAATTGAATATAGGAGCTATATATCCGAGAGCTGTGATTTAAATATAAGGCTAAATCTGTATTTTTAGAAAACAAAGTGAAACAGCCGAAAGCAAAAAGCTAAGTTTAGTAGAGTTTTGATATTTGGTTGATTGACATGAAAAGTCAATAGAAAAATCTGATTAACCAAACACATAAATAGCTGTTTGGAATGATCAAATAGCCAATTAATGGTCAAAACAGCTAAAAATTGGCTGATAGGCCAATAACCAAACACCCCCTATCAGAAGGATCACTTCTTTTTTTTTTTAAACCGGGGTGTCCTTTTCTGTTTTTTAGTATACGTAATACGTATCTATATAATATAATAAAGCAAACGCTTGAACTCTTTGGAGGAATTATTCACACGTGTCAACATTATTTGTATGAAAAAGTGACATGTGACAACACAATAAATTAAAGAAAAAACTATTGAACTTCCAAAACTCTACTCTTATTAGGTATATATGTGAGTGTATATATATACCGAGTATATAATATGTGTATATATTTGTTATTGTGTTCAATACAAAATTAGGTAAAATTTGCACTCGCCGCCATTAGAAAATCCAAATACTCGAAACAAAAAAAACAATTTTTAGCCGCTCTTAGAATAAAATATTACTCTCTATTTCTTTTCTCATAAACTCTTGGAGATTCTCCCTTATTCAGGATTTCCATAAATAATGTCTTATTTATTTCCAAAATATGATAATTATTACATCCTTTGTCTCATTAATTTTCTCCGACATTTTCTTTTTCTTTCGTTCACTAAGTTTGTGTAGCCCCAAATTATTATAATACATGTGTAGTTCTAAATCATTTCTTACATTATTGTCCCTACTTTTTCATTTCAACGTTAAGTAGATAATCTATTATTTAGTAGCTGCACATGTCTCAATCTTAATGCGACAAATGTGATACTCCCTCCGTCCCCCTATTATTGTCCCATTTTCTATTCACCTGGTCAACACAAATCATTCTTAATCTCTTACTTTATTTATCAAATTTTTATCAAATTTGATTCTGGTTTTTGCGACTTTATAAAACTTTTAATGTAGTTTCTGAATATGCAAATTTTTTTTCTAAAAATAATTCTAGTGCGGACAGGGATCTGTTTGTTTTATCGTCAGTCAAGCATCGTAAACCGCAATGGGACAATAACAGGGGGACGGAGGTAGTATTACTTATCTGTTTATTAATTCACAAGGTCTACCAAATCAATATCTAAAGGTAGATTCAATTTTTTTGTCTCATATTTAATTTATTTATACTTTCTTCGCAATTTATGTTTCACGTTGTTAAATGTGTTAGCACTCTCCAATCTTATCCAACTTGTGGTAGATTATGCTTTTCATAGCTTGGATCGTCTAACTGCCTAATGGTGTCAAACGATGAGAATGGTCTCAAACGATGCACATTATTTTTAATTGAGGTGCACACTTATTTAAAATTATTCAGACTTTAAATGGAAAGGAAAGGTTGAATTTATTTACAAAAATGTCAGTACATTTTTATTTATGATAGCACATATTTCTATTTTACATAACACACAATTTTAAAATCTAACGTTCCGGTACATATATAGAAATAATGCTAGAGCAATTTAATTAAATAATTATTATATATAAAGAATAGTTCAACAGGGGTTGTAAAATAATAAATATATTCGAGAATTATTTTGGTAGTAGAGCATCAATATATACTTTGATTTACTCACAACCTGCATTGGTCAACTCACTTAACCTGCAACCTATGCAAGTTGATCCCTGAAACCGGTGAGTTCATCGGGTTAAAGAACGACAACTCTAACCCATCGTGAAATAGGATGAAATGGGCTAGCCCTATGCACTTTGACTCATTTTCACAACTCTCTTCATTGTCGATTGATTTTTCTTTTAGACTCTCGTTCACGAATTCACATACAATTCATTTCCTCTACAATTTTAATTAAACTTTAACCACTTTGTTAGTTTGTTTGCCGTGCAGTGCACGGGTACATATACTAGTAACAATATAAATAATACTTATAGTAGACGAATATATATACACAATTGATCTATGAAAGGAACTTATCTATGAGCACATAACATCAGAACAGTTTCAGATCACCTTTATAGGTATATATTAGGACGTATGATGCATGTAGCGCGAATAGATTATAAATACATCTCTTATTGAAAATCTAAAAGCCAATAAGACCTTTAGCTTATGGTGCTCTCCCTCTACTAACAGTAATGTATTCTAATAGTACAAAACACATGATATATAATAATTTATTATTCTGTTTTCCCATGGGGGGAAATTAGGAATTGAATTGTCTCAACTGGAAACCATGGGTACAGTTATTGGACACCACTCCACCTGGCCCAATCCACGAACTGCATCCCGGCATAGACATTGTTGGCGAACCGCACGCCAACGGTGAATGCCATTGCTACGGGTGGATAGTGCTTTGCTGCTGGTGATGATTCCACTAGCCTCTCCAAACCAGTCACAATCTGCAATCGCGTATTTGAAGATACTCCTAAGAAAACACCTGTAGATAATATGGGTGGTAAAAAGTCATACACCTCCATTGGCAACTTTAATTACCAGTGATCAATAATATTCATGTATCCTAATAGAAATTAATTAAGGCATACCCCATAGTGCTGCACTCTTTATCAGAGGAGGAACAGGTACATCTTCTTCTGATTTCTTTACACTCCTGAATTAAAATTGGAGTCAGCAATCAAAGGGAAAAAGTAAAGCCGCATTGTTAAAATGGAGTATAAAATCTTGATAATATAGGAAGTGATGAAAAGAAGGAATAGGATGGTATAGCATATATATATATATATATATATATATTCTTTATCTAATTGAAATATTTTTTCTATTTCATTTATCAGTAAAAGTCAATAAATGTCCATATTTCACGAGCTCAAACTCTAGAAACATCTATTATCATCGAGCTAGAGGTGTAGATCATATCTTCCCTCCATGAAGCATACATGACTCAAGGGCGCTTGGCACAATCCAACCTTTTAGGATAGTAGTACTAGTTCAGTATAATATTCATGTTATGAAGTGAAAGAGAGCTTTTAACTTCCAAGGCTAATTAATGCAAACTATGTCAATGTTTGTTCAAGCCATTGTCCAGACGACGCTAGAACTTTCTCCAGGGCAGTCGCCTTGCCTGGAGAATGATGGGTGTTAAATTTGACGTCGGCTAGGAGCCCATGGGGACGTCCAGAGTCATATTTTCATTAAATCACTTTTGATTGCCAACTTGACCAGCATTTTCTTAGTTTAAACAGACACATCAAACGAAAGAAATACAAACAAAACGGAGTAAAAGAGAAAGACAAAAGAAAATGTTTAACACAGATACAGTTCTTTTCTATCTGACATGTTTTCCATTTCTTCCTTTCCCTTTCTTCTTTGTTTCTTCCCATTCTTTCTTTGTTAATTCTGTCTCTTTACTTTTTTTTTTTTGGAAAAAATCCGTCCCTTTACTAATCTGTCTAGTTTACTTTTGTTTATGATTATTTGCCCATTTTCTTTACATAGTAGTGACATGAACCTGATCACTACATTTTTCTAGAGTTTTGTAGTGTATTTTATTGGAAATGGATATTAAGCTTTTGTTTTGAATAAATGTGACAAATTAGTAATCCATATATTATATTTTATACTATATTTTAGTCAAATATTGTATACGACTAATTGCCCCATACACCAAGTAACCTAGGCGATAAGATGGCTCGCTGGTGCCACGCCTGGCATAACCACCATGCCAACGTTGCTTATGTCAAACTTATGTTTCATCTTCAGTTTATTAGCTCCACTCACTCCCACAATAAGATTATTCACATTTCACATCATGGATTATACATGCAAATACTTGAGGTCAAATGTCTTGAGCAAGATATATTTGTATTCTGCACATATAACAGCATCATAGATTAACAAGCAAGATCCAATACATTTTGGGCCAAAAAACAGTCGCTTCTGATTAATGTCATTAAAAACCTAGTTGGCACAGTTCAAGATAACAATAGCAGGGGAAAGGAAAGCACTACAGGATACATACTTGTACAAAAGAAGGAATGCTTACAGAAATATAAGTAATACATATAATAGCAAAGACATACCGTTTGGCAGTCATTATTAAATTTGCAATTCCTTGGCCAACAATACCACATCCAAACCCCACAAGTCCATAAAGAATTCCCTAAGAATACAAGTATAACTGATTAGCTTGGTTTGTAAAATACGTGAAAACAGTAGGATAATAAGCAAAAGTGTTTGTATTAGAATGATTCTACAAATAAAGGTACCTAAAATCCTATGAAACCAGTCAAACCACTACGTAGTTAACAAAAATGCATGCCATTGACAGACTAAACCTAAAGCTATAAGATGCTAACCTTATAAAAGTATGCAGCCATTCTCTGGTTTATTGTAAACTTGCACCCTGGCCTTTCCGCTTCAAACACACTGAAACACATAACAATAGTGTAATGAAGAACCATATGTATTGAAATTCCAATTAAAAGAAGTGTTATGAATGCAGTGTCAATAAAAAACATATTTTTTGCTATTACAGAGTACAGACGTGTAGGATACGGGAATGTAAAGCTTAAAAACAATTCACAACAGTACAATAAAGTTGAGCAGCAATTTAACAAGGACGGAATGATGAAGAGAAACCTGCTTGGAAGAGCTCCATAAGATCTCTGGAGACGCCCAAGAAATCCTTGAGATGTAGAAGGTTGTCCAATCCGTGCATATGGTGCTAACAGACCAACTAAAGCAACATTAACGACAACCCCAACCAACATATCTGCAGCGTACAGTTCAAATTCTGCCCAGAAATCCTTTCCTCTCTTTTGAACTTCGGCAAATGTTGCACAGGCAGTATCGATAACAATCTACACCATAACTCAATACTGGCTTCAGTTTGATATAGTAAAACAACAGGTTGTACTTGAGAAATACTGCATAGATAACTGTACGAGAAACTAAATTTAAATCCCCACCTCGAAGTGCTAATGACCAAATGGATACCCTAACATGATTAAACAAATACAGAGTAACAATCTATCAACAAATAATGAAGTCACTCAAGTATCCGGCAAATCCTTATTTCATCTAGAGGCTAATATTGAATTTCAATCTTTTTTCTTCATGTTTCCCTGTAATGTTTTAAGCATCCTTCTCTTACAATTGTGTCATGTACGAGATATTCTTCTTCATGAGATCTTGCCCATCAAAGGCATCCTGTTTGGGATCTTCTTCTTCGTTAGATCTTGTCAATCAATTGAGAATAATGGGTATGATTGTGAACCTTTTTTACTTCAATAATTGATTTGATTTGAATAATACGACAGTGGGTAGTGCGTTTCTCTGTCTTGGGTTCTTTCTGCATGTATGCAAGTATGTGTTTGTATGGAGAAGCTTATAAACCGTATGGTTGCAGGAAAGTTGAAGTTTTTCCTTTCTTCTTACTTTCCAAAAAATCTAACTGGAAACCTTTTCAGAATTGTTGTAAAAAAGTGTGAGTATGGCACCTAGTCTGGGACTAACAGAATTAAAGCCAATGTATTTAAACAGATTTATGGTGCCTAGGCAGGGAAAAACTTAGGCGTCCATGAAACGCTTGGCGCCTAGGCAGGGATTAAGTTTACAAGTCTTGCTGTTATATTTGACAAGTGGAAGGGTGCCTTTTTCTTTCTTCTTCTTTTTGCAACTTTTTTGTTATATTGATAATGTGTTGTAGTTAGTTTGGGATTAGGACCATAAGGCATTTTACATTTAATATTTAAAAATTAGGGTCATGGTACTGGACTGAACCTTGAAATGAAACTAAGGAAGAATTAAACATTGTTTAACCCATGTTTCTTTAGTTCAAACCACTATTTCTTTTTAATACGGAGTAAGTTGAAAGAAATGGTATGGAATATAAAGATCTACAGGAATTGAAGGTTGGAATCACCATTCTGTTCTGAGCCAAAGCCAAATGGAGGTAAGTAATCTGCCCCTCACAAAACAAGGCTAATAAAAAAGCGTATTTATTTATGGATGTGAGCTAGATGGATAGATTGATGGGCATATGTGAGCAGATATATGACTATTATATGAGCATACTAAAAACATGCCACATGCAATATATAACTCTCGGATTCATGAGTGAAACATTTTAGTCTAAGACTCATATAGGAAAGCTATATTAGAATTTGTGGGGAATAAATTTCCTTTTTTGTTTCAGATTTTTAAATGTAATTGTCATGATAAACTTTTCTAAAGATGATTCACTATTTTCAATGTATGCCAACCAGTTTCTCAACAAACATGGACCATGAAAAAGTGTGACATTGTTGGAATCAAAGTGAAACTATTACAAAAGACTGTCCTCTTCCATGGTAATGTGCTTCATCAGTTTCATAGGGCAGCTGATAGATAGCTATATATTTATGAATGCTAATATTTTTACTACTCGAGGTGAATGTGGGTTGTTAATCCATCCATAGAACATGTTGGTATTGGCGTAGGAAAGAATTTTAGATGAAAAATATGTAGGATATAGTTATGATAAAAATTCTTCTTTCAGTCCCTATAGAGTAGTGATCACATCCATTCATCACATATACATTAAATGGGATCTTACTTACATGCTCCATATATTATACAGACTACGGAGTAATATTGTGTTTGCCAAGCAATGAATGAAAAACTAATATTACTATGTACAATATAGTTAAGATAAAGTTGTTCTTCCAAAAGAATGTTTTAACCTCTAACGAGAAAAGATTTATCATGAAGATGACATCACCTGAAACACAATACAATATTAGGACCGTTCTGCCTTATAGTTTAAGACACAAATTTTCAATGCATCCTGAAGTTTGCCAAGAACCTAATACTCTCTTTGATCAGATTAACAATCCACATAGAAGAGCTGAAAACGTACCCACCAGTGCCTTGATACTGTTACATTATATGGTATGCAAATATCCAATGATTTGTCCAATTTGCTATTTCTTCCCTTATATTGAATTGTATACTTTTATTATTTAATTTCTATACTAGATGCAGGTAATTGGATCTAATGTTGATCAACTATGGGAATCTATTATCTTTCGCTTGAACTTGACGGATTTTATGATATTTTAGGAAATTAGTATTGTTTAAGTAAAATTTCAGCTTTGTGGTAGTACTTTGTGTCATTTCCAATTGTAAAATGTATACGCAACAATGTTGCCTCTATATTGCATCACATTCTCGTGGTATATTCCTTTATTAGTCTGAAAAGTTTCCTATGTTATGCGCAGTGCAATTCTTTGAACGACTTCACATCCTTGTTGTAATCTAATACATATAGCTTATACTCCAAAATCCATAAGTTAGATTTCTGTTATTTCCCCACCCCGTGCAGCTCACATGAAAGACTAGTACTCAGAGTTATTCAAATAAAGTGTACCGAGTGCACAAATTCATAAAACGAAGTGAAGAAGTTTAAACTAACCTCTGTTCCAACTTTGAAAAGAAACGATGGATCGACCAGCATTCGATTCCTAAGCATAGAGCACGACCTGATAGCAGGTCCTAAAGGCCACACAGATCCCTGAGTACAGCCAGGCCAGTTATGTTACTTCTTATTTTCTTAATGCAATCAAAACTAAGATGATAGCCAACAATTCAATCCACCAAACCCTAAATATCACTTTAACACAAATTAAAAAACTGTACCTGCAAGTCCAAATATCTAAGCAACAGGACTTTCTGAATCCCCACACTCTTTGCAGCCTCTAACATGTCAGCAGGAAGATTAGCACCACGGGACTCAGCCTCCCTCATTACTTCCTCAAACTTCAGAATCGGCCCGAACTCATCTTCTTCCTTACCATTTCCCCCATTTTCATTACCACCTCCACCCCCACCTGTAAATCTCCCATTTCCGCCGTTCCCATCCACTAAATCCCCACCACCACCACCGCTAAAACTATCTGTTGAGGCTATATGACTGGAATCCAGAACATTAGCGTCTTTGCTCACACTTGAGAGGTCACTCCCTTTCAATAATTCACTTACACTAACACCAGATTGCGACTCACTCTCTTCACTCAACAAGCTCCTGACTGAAAATCTGAGCATGTTGCTCTTGCACATCAAATACCCATTGCTGGTGTTGCCTTGAATCTTAACAAAATTCCACCTTGATGCTTTAATATGAGTAAACATAACATTTCTTGAATTTCTAAATCGAGACAGACTAACTCCAGATGAGCAACTTGTCATTGTTTTCAAAATCCGCAATGACAAATTGGAAGGCAACAGCCAAAGCAACAATCAGAGTGGATGGAAGTAATCAAAGAAACAACAGGTCATACAAGTAGAATAGAATCAATATCACCATCACTGTACCATGGAAATTGACTTTGACGGCTTCTATTTACCCGAGGAAAGTGACAAGGGGTTGGTGGGAATATGGAATTTGAGAAATGTCAAATAGTGTGTGTTGCAATTGGGAAGGGAACAAGCAGGTATTTCGGTATTAAAATTTCAGTCCACAATTCTTCTATTTCACTTTTGTACAAACTTGAACAAATAAGTTTTGCCTACAGACGGACAAAGAAACAAATTCACCCTTGTTTACTTTAAATTCATTAAATAAATTTCAAAAAACACCAAAAAAATTACTCCCTCCATCCCAAAATTATCTTCATAGTTACTATTCACACGGTCAACTTAAATTACTCTTAAACTTTTACTTTATATATTAAATTTTTATCAAACTGAAATTTTCTTGATCAGCTTTTGTAGCGGATTTAATGTAGTTTCTGAATATGTAAATTTAATTTACTAAAAATAATTTGAGTGTGAACAGGGATTAAGTTGCTTTATCGTCAGTCAAGCATCGTAAACCGAACTACGAAGATAAATATGGGACGGAGGGAGTATAAATTCGAAATTGAAAAATAAAAAAAATGTTGTAAATTCCTGAGAATGATAAGTGTGAATTGTTCATCTTTGTCATCATGACACTAATCCAATTTTCATCCTTGTAATAGATAGATGACTAGGTTTTATGTTGTCAGCATATTATGTAGAATAATTCTTTGATGATTCATCTCCTAGCCAACTAGTATAAATAGGGTGATCAACCCTTTGTAAATGTACTCACAAGTTCAGAAAATCTTTATATTAAGAAAAAGTAATTCAGAGGTTTTTAACAATATATCTATCTCTTAAATCTATCATGCATCTTCTTCATTTCAGAACACGTTATCAGCACGAATTTGCTCAAAATCTTCAAGAAATCATAATCTCTTGCAGGTATTAACATTAATATTATATTATCTTCTTTAATCTTGAGCAATCATGCATGCATAATAAACAATTTAGTATTTAAACTTTAAAAGTACATTCAATTTTTTTTCAAAATAATTAAAATCATACATATGATTGTACTAATAGAATTAAAGTAAACGTACCTTCTAAGCTTCTTCAAGACATTTTTTTTCTCTTCCTTCTATCTTGATACATAGCTCGGCTTAGACTTAATTCATATTTGATATGTTGCAAAGTTGGAGATTGTGCTTCGTAATAATGGAGTAGTGAGAAAGATAATAAGATACTAAAGAAAATAAAATGAGAATTACAGATAGGAGGTAGCGATATGGCCTAATATACTAACCACAAATATATACTCTGTATATAAATCAAAGATAACTTAGTGGTTCACGGGTTTATACAAACTAGTATTGTACCCGTGCAATGCACGGGAAATAATTTATCATATTAATTTACATATGCTTAATAGTAATAAAAGTGGAATATTGGAATATAATAAAAAACGACAATAATAACTATCTGGTTGTTAAATTATTATTATTACAATGATATGATGTAACTGAATTGCATCGAATACATGTGAAAATTATAAGTTATGAAAAACCTTTTTGGTATACTACATTTATGGTCTCATCTTTCGCCCTATCATCATCATCATCATAATGAAGCAACATTGGAGAAAAATCGATAGAGCTTTTATGATTGGTAACCAAACTTTATCTTGAAGACTGAATTATCTCTTCATACCAATTAATGCACCACAGTGGATCTGTGCATACATAATTATCACCAATGTCCCAAATATCTACACGCAAAACATAAAATCACATATAAAGAAGTAATTTAGTACAAATAAATATGACAAAAGGGCCAAAGATGCCCGTCTACTATCTCTAATCCTTGGTTTAAGTCATACTAAAAAGATAATGTGATATTTTTAATATAGTGACTTAAATGATGAATTAATAATAATAAAAAAGCCGATTCGACCCTTATCACAAAATAAACCTATATGACGTTCTTTTCACAAGCTTTTTAGATCTTTATAATCAATGTATTCATCATCAACATCATCAATATGATGTTAATGATGACACATCATTAACAGTTTAATGTGTTGAATCTTGGAGCACTAGGTAATCCAAACTTTAAATTGACATTCCAAACTAAATAATATCATAATAAAATAAATATAGCATCCTACTGCTAATAATTTTATTAATTGTAATAGACTTATTATGAATTCACCAAATCATAAAACCCATATATTTTTTGCTAATAATATGATGTCATTGTCATATGCTCCTTATTTGTTATAGATGTCAATAGACTTATTATTTAATTTTGTAAATCATTAAATCAGAATAAGTTATATATTTTTCACAATTTTGAATTCAACTTAGCTTATTTTTAAAACTAATTACATGTTTTTGAATTAAATAAAAGATTTTACAAAAAAATGACTCTTAAATGTAGTTTTATAGTAGGTATTTTAAATATAAATATCATGTGACAGTTTTTTACCCATTTTTAAGTAACTTCAATTATATCTATTTAAATTAAGTTATATTTCAGCAACTTTTTAAAATATATTTAATCTTTTACATAGTGGAATAAAAGACTTAAATTATTTATTCCATTTTTTCCCAACTTTGGTCCAGTGGCGTCCACAAACCTCCCCATCCCAATCCCCAAACACCACCCTCCACTAACCTTCCAAACCCCACACTCGCCGCTCCCAGACAATAACACCCTGTCGTTAGACAATCTCCACCGCCGAACTTTACACTGCTGTAGACGTATTCAACACTTGAATAAAGCTATCGCAGAAGTATTTTTTGTTTCAAGATATCCTCACACGTCCAGTCCATTGGTAATGGTTGATGCATTAATATCCCAAATCTTTGTGCTCCAGATGCCACCCCTATGATTTTAACCTGCCGCATACCCTTGCAGCGGTATCGTTCCAGAACTCCCCTCTTCAAAATGTCGATAGCTTCTCATCTTTCACCATTCTCGTAGCTTTTTTCACCAATAAAACACAGCTGAAGCGTGTACTAAGCCGCCGCTGCCGCTAGTTAGCGCCAATGGAACGACTGCAGCCTCGAATGACTGCTGACAAAGCTGCCGCCACCCCCAATGAGAACCATCGATGCCCCCACCAAACTGTTCTATTTCTTTTGTTCAAAAACCACCACCTAAGGTAATAACTCTTCCTTTTGGTTAATTTTTCAAGTTTTTTCCTGGCGATATGTTTGATTTATGGTGGTGATGTATATAAGTTTCATATACGGCGTTAATGATTCAAATTTTTCTCTAAGCATTGCATTTCATTTCTATGCCCATAAGGTGTTTGTTAAAAGGCTACAATGAAATGTTTATTTCATATTAAAAAATGACAAAAACTACTTACATGACCATTGGTTAAGATCCCATGAATTCTAGTTTACTGTATGGGTAGTGGAGACTTGAATTATGTATATTGTATATTTTCTCCTATAACTTTAATAAATGAATAATCATCTGTTAATGCATGGTTTTTTGTTAACCTTATTTGAATCTCAAACTATTAGAGATTAGATTCAATAAAAATGGGTCTTTTGTAATATCTAATATTTGTGAATTGTGACCATATAACTGGATCCAAATGTAGAGCAGAATTATTTGTGCTCCAATAGAAGTTGGATTCTAACTCCAACTTGTGGTTTAATATAATATTTGTGCCCAGTTCTCATCACTTTCACTTCAACAACTTTTGCATAAACCTAAGAACTTTCAATCTAATTTTTTTACAGTGAAACTCGTTCCATTAGCATTGCAATCATTGACCAACAATATATAAAAGGTGACAACTCCGTTACCTTTCTAAAAAATGGGGTACCGTACCTACCATTCATTTGATTGGACCACACCACTTTATCATTTTTAATTTAGATTTAAATAATTCAACTGCTTCATTATCATTGGTTCATGTGGACAAAGGTATGGTACCTTATGGGTACTATAGAATCTACCTATATAAAAATGTACTACGTAAATATTACCTCTCGAGAGTCGAGACTCATAACGTTGAAATATTTAGTTGTGTGATTATTGTAGCTCAAACAATGCTTGTAGTTGAGAGATCATATTCACTTCCTAATAGAGCTTTTGTCATAAATAAAATTTTCATCCTAATTAAGTTTTTGTCATAAACTATGAATTTGTGATGACAACTAAATGTACATCAACATTAATTGCCAATGTAATCTGAAACCACGAAACAAATAATTTAAAAAGAAATATTGTGAACTCACTGTTGAGTAGTCTCGTCAATTTTTTGTGCACAACAATCAAAACCTTTGAAGTTATACACATGATTAGGAAAAGAATCATGGAGGTAATAGCGAAGTACTATCAAAACTCCAAAACATTCATTTTTTGTTTCTAGGGAGATGACTCATGGAGATACAAAATAGAGTTTGGTGAAGTCAAATGAGCACAAGGTAAAAACTATCATATCATATGCTATGTATTTCTATTTTTACAGTATTTCTATTTTTACAGATTTGAGTTTCAAGAAGCAATGTTAGGGGGGTGTCCTCAAAATGGATTTTCATGGAGTTTTAAAGATTGTGGATTTGGTGGAATTTAATGGAGTATTATGGATTCCATGAGAATTTTACAGATTCTATGTAGAATTCATTGGATTTCACTTTGATGGATTTTAGCACTTGGAGAGTTGTATTTTTTGACATAGCAGGTTGTCTCTGTGTTTCGTCTCATCTATATCTGCGGTTCATCTCATGAAGCTAATGGAATTGAACAACCAGTAAGGGCATGGAAGAAGAACATGTGGGTTGCACTCGCAGCGGTGTCGAGCAGCTTCACGCCACTGGGGATCTGCAGCGTCGTGGTTTCAAGGGCTGCTCTCTGGGATCTGCAGCACAGCAACCGTCTACTTGCACTTGAAGGGGAGCCGGGCAGCTACTTTGAACATGTGACCCATTCCGGCGGCACAATTGGGAGGGGAGCTGGACAGTTCTCTTTTATGTTTGATTTTTTATTTCAAATCCTTTGAAATCCGATGTGTGTTGAAGATTTCGAATTGATTTGTTTTGTATATACAATTCCATCAAAATCATTTAAAATCCATCCAAATAAAAAACAATTGAAGTATGTGGAATGTTTGAGGACACCCGTATTTTCACGGATTCCACAAAAATCCAAATTG